GCAAGTTGCAAGGTGGAGGCTGGGAAGGGGTGGGGGTGGTGCCACCTGAGACCGGGTGGTGTGTTCTCTGCAGCCAGACTGTGGCAGGCCTTGGTGCTGTGCTAAGTATGCAGGCTGGTCCAGGAAACGGTGAGGACCCATGGATGCTGTTAGCAAGGAATTTTAGAAATATTACTCTGGCAGCAGAAGCTTGATACTTGATTAAAGAGAAGTGGGTCTTAGCATATTGGGGTAAAAAGAGATGCTATCCTGGACCTAGAAAGGGTTGAATGCAAGGTCTTCTGTGGCTGGGTTTCCATTTCCTTCATGGCATAGATACCATTGCTGTGAGAAGGTTTCCAGAGCCACCTCCCCAACCCCATGAGCTAGGATGCTTTTGTCTGTACTTTTCCCACAGCCTGTATTTTTCAGTATTGCAGGGTAAAGTTCCTCACTGATTCCTTAAAGATTAAGATGACAGAGCAAAACCATTGGATTTGTCAATGGTTTTAGAGATAAGAATCTTCGGGAGGCCACGTTCGCTGATTAGAGAAGGCCCCGAGAAGTGAGCATGGCCACTGGAGAGGTGGAAAAATGAAGACTAAGGATCTTTCAGGAGAGGAAACATTTGTATATGTTGGAAGGCATAGAAAAAAAGAGTCAGGAGAGAGAACTCATGAGGGAGGCAGGAGAATGGCAATAGGGAAGGGAACTTGATTCTCCTAGAGTGTGTCTTCTGGGCAAGGTGCTACATGTTTGTGTTATTATCTTAGTCTTCACAATAGCTTGTGAAGTAGCCATTGAACACCTCATTTTACCTAGTGGGAATTTCAGGCCAAGGGTTATAGTTTCAATTTAAAATGTCCCCCAAAAGCGTCATGTGTGTGGAAGGTGATTGGATTGTGTGTGTGGGGTGCTATGCTCACCTGTGGGTTTGCACGTTGATGAGTTTTATAGCTGAATGTGCTGTTAGGAGCTGGGGCTGAATGTGCTGTTAGGAGCTGGGGCCTAGAAGGGTGGATTCTCGTCCCTCACTCCTCTTTTCTCTCTCTGCTTCCTGACGGGCGCTGGGTGAGCATATTTCCTCCGCCATGTCCTTCCACCATGATGTCCCTGCTTTGGAGCCATACACCATGTACTGAATTCCTTGAAGCATGAGTCAAATTAAACCTCCCCTCCTTTAAGTTGTGGGTGTTGAGAATCTTGTCCCAGCAAGAGGAACAGAGTTCCTTAAGGTTTGGGTGATATGTTTTAAATGAGTGGAGAAGCTCTGTTCTTCCCCTCGTATTTCTTTGGAGTTAGGCATGGATGGAATCCTGAGTATGATGCCCAGGATTGTCTAGGAGGAAGGAGAGGTTGTCCCAAGGTCAGGGAGGACTGCAGTAGGTCCATTCTGCACAGCCAGACTGATTCTGTGGCCTGTAAACTATTGTGTAAAACATGACTATGGGGATGACTAAGATGGGGCAAGGTCAAGGTGGTGAAAGTGCTCGTGGTGGGTAGGAATGGTGCACAGTCACGGCAGAGCCAACCCTGTGGGTACCGAGGAAGGCCTCTGTAGCTGGCAGAAGGGGAAGGGTAAAATAAAAAAGTATCCACAGTTAAAGCAGCAATTTATGGCCCTACTTATGTCAAACTATGTGTGTAGGTTTGCATGCAGAAATGTGGGGTAGGAGGGCTACCAACATGGCAGTGGGTGGTTAGCTCACTGGAATGATTCCAGATGATTTATTTCAAGGGTTTTTTCTTTTTTTTTTTTTTTTTTTTCTTTTTTTTTTGGTACTTCATACTTCTGTGTGTTTGAAAATTTTGCAATAAGCTTATGTATAACCAGAAACAACACTACAGATGCTTTTGTTGTGGAAAACAGCTTGTGTAATGAATTTTTGCTGTACAGGTAATTTTTCCCCTTCTCTTTCTCTGTCCTGTGGTGAGGAGAAGATCTGATGCAGGGAGAAAGTCAGAGAGAGGTAGATCCTGGTGGGTGACTCCTGAGATAGGGGCAGGCCCTTGCACTCTTTCTCCCACACCTTTTTCTTGGCCTCTCTGGCCAGCCTTGGATCAGGAGCTTTTTCTGGGTGGAGGGGAGCACTCAGGATTTTAGTTGCTTTGGGATGACCGGGGAGTGCTAGGGAGTGACACCGGGGAGCAGCCTTGGCCTGTGGAGACGTGTGGAGTGGAGGGCCCCAGCTCCCTCAGCCTTGGGTGAGTCATATCGGTTTATACCTGCAGGTCTTGGCCGCCCACGTCAGCGGCCTCCTGTTGACCTTGCTTTTACTTCTCACCGGGAGCTTCTTAGCATTACCTTGCCACATGTCTTGGTCTTTGAAGTCTTACTTCCAGAACTGCTTCCGAGAGAGGCCAGGCTGAGTCAGGGTCCCAGCCCTTCCCTCAGCGATGGGCGAAGTGCTCGTCGCCGACTGTCCTGCCCACAGAGTGCGGCACAGGAGCCCCTCAGAAGCGGCGTGGATTCAGTACTTTCTGTGGTGAAAAGAAAACAGGGCACGCTGACAGAGAGCTGCTTTCTCTTATTTCCTCACCCGGCTGCTGAGTGAGGAACTTGTGACGAAATGACCCCAAGCTCTGACTCAGCCCGGCCTCCTCACGCATGTGAAGCAGGCCGGGCACCGGGGCCTTGAGCGGCAAATTCCCTCATGAATTTGTCTTTGAGCAACAGCAATCTCATGCACCCTCCTCCCTCATCTGCAAGTCATCTTTCTGCTTCCTGAGCCAAATTTCTAACGGCCTGGGTGGCTTTCCTGTCTCACTCCCTCAGTGTGCTGGGACTGGGCGGCTCAGGCTGCTCCAGGAGAGCCGAGGCACCGGGAGCCCCAGCTCGGCTAAGCGGGCCACTGGGCCCACAGCGCACTCCTCAGGTGAGGACGGGCTGACGGAAAGACTCTTAGAACCCAAAGTATGAATAAAGAGCAAAGTAAAAGATAGCTAACAGGAGGAAGGGAGACGGATCAAGAGGTAGAGGGAGGAAGGGATAAAGCTGGAAAAAGGAGTTAAGGTGTGTTATGGACTTGTAGCAACTCCCCACAAGGAATGTGAACGTTACGTGCTGGAAACATGTGCTAATGAAAAAAGAAAGTGCCCGCTTTTATCATCGAAGTTGTTCTCTGAGGTTTCTCTTTTCCCTTTCTCCCTCCCAGACGGAATCCATTTGTCAAAGTGTTTTTAAATCACCGGAATCCTCACTTCTAGCACTAGCCTTAGCTTCAGCTTAGAAATACATTTTAAGACCTGAGTGCTGATTTGAGCACGTAAGCATCCCGAACATGGCCGTGGAGCAGGAAAGAGTTGTAGGTCTGGGTTTAGCTTCCAACTCTGACGTTTTCTAGTGATGTGACCTTAGAAAAGCACCTTCCTCTCATCTCCTACGTGGAGCGATAACACCTATCTCACAGGATTGCTGAAAACTACGAGAAATTTGAAAATATATTTTACTTTTTAAAAATTTTTTTGGTACCGGCAGTTGAACTCAGGACCTTGCACTTGCCAGGCAGGCGCTGTGCTGCTGAACTATGTCCCCAGCCCCCCAAATGTATTTTAAACCACACAGCAATATTATTATTTTTGTTGCATTCTGGATATGTTGTACCAGAAAGTGTTATTGTAGGTTACTGAGTTCAGTTCTCTTTTCATATAAAATAAATATATTGTGTTTCTTTGTTAGTTTTATATTATGCATGTCTTTATAGATTTTCTCAAATTATTTTTGGATACATTGGAATATAGACCATGAATGAAAGAATTCAGTAAATGAATGAACGGACCAGTTTAGAGCTATCAACCCCAGCACTGCTAATCAATAGCAACTAAATGTGTTAAGCAAACAAGGCCAGAAGAAAGATCTTAGCTCATGTCCTTGCTTTTAAAAGTGGCACCATGTCCTGTGACATAATTGAATAGAGAAACCTAATTCTATTGTCTCTTTTCTTAGTTCTGCATTAAAATCATTAACTCCTTTCAAATGTAAGAGCCAGGGCTTTTAAAAAGATGATTAATGAATATAAGAACTTCTGTTATTAACATTCTTCAGAAGTGAGTGTCCCTAACCAAATCTTAATAGCCTTTGGTAAAGCCTGCTTCCTGTAGGAAAGAAAATCAAATCATCAGCATAATGGCAGAGCAAATCAGATGCACATTTGCTTGAAGACCAATTTCCCATTCTTTTGCTGGCTTCTTTTCTGCACCTGCTGTCCCTCACACCCAGGCAGTGAATTGTTTAGATCTTGGAAGAGATATCATCACTGTTTTGACTGTCACCTGCTCTGAGGGTTGTCAGCGGTTTGGGGAGAGTGAGAGAAGTGTGCTCTGGGCTCGGCCCTGTGGATGGAGCTGGCGAGTACTTTGCCCTGCTTGCAGGGCTGCCTCAGGACACTCCTGGAAGCCAGGCTCTTTTTCTTGAGGGTGGAGAAGCACACAGCTCTACTACTACTGGCAGCCTCATGAAGGGATTTTTCATAAGGTCACCAGTGAGGTTTTCATGTAAAATCTGGGAGTTTACTCTGAGTGCCCAGATATTTAAACTCATTAGCCATTTTCAAAGAGGCTTGTAGTAAACAGGAAGTGCTCTAATGAAGTCGGGGTCCAGGTCATATGAGAGTCAAGGAGTTTTCTCCAGGCTTGATACAGAAGGAGGTGGGGACCGAGCTTGATCCTTGGGCTGGACTGAATATGGACAAAGGAATGAAATAATTCAAAGAACTAGCCCTGAGGGAAAGTGTTGTCAGGAAGAGAAATCAGCTAATCAAAATGGGTTAAATGTGTGTATGTGTTTTACTGCTAGTACTTAACTAGCCTGAGTGTCATACGGGCATGTTGGCATGCTTAATTCCAAACATCTGAACCCAGTAGGCATTGCCAAGCAATGATGGGGAATTTGGAAAGGTTGAATGGAAAAATCAAAACAAAAGAAAATGACCAAATAGCTAAAAGTTGAATCTGGCTAATTAAAATAGCACACATCAGATGCTGAAATGGAAACTGACCATTATCTTGGTTGGAACTTGCAGCTCCTGGCTAGGCACAAAAACTTGCAATGGGACAAAGTCCTGCGGCTGGAGGAGGTGCAGGCCCAACTGGGGATCAGCCTGGAAGAGATGCTGTTGGTCACAGAGGACGCTCTTCACCCTGAGCCCTATAGCCCTGAGGAGATCTGCAGGTGCCTGGGAATTAGCCTGGAGGAGCTTCGGACCCAGATCCTGAGTCCAGACACTCAGGGTGGTAAGTCTGCTCGATAAAGGAGGGCCTGAATTTCTCCCCACTTACACCCGGAAGCTTTTCAAACTCCCGTGGATACTTCTAATCGTTTCCGGTACCGGGAACCGAACTCACGACCTTGCGCTTGCCAGGCAGGCTTTTTGCCGCTGAGCTAAATCCGCAGCCCCGATACTTCTAATCTTAAAGAGTATTTGAGGCAATTTGGAGAATGCGTGCATTTTGGCAAACTTAATCATCTCGGTCCATACCTTCACAAACTCACACATTTACCACCACCAAACATGTCTTAGTATATGCCAGTTACTCTGTCTGTGCGAAGATAAGGCATGATCCCTGCCCTCAGGAGGTTCATAACTCAATAAGCATCTCCTTCATTACCTTACCTTACCCCCATCTATTTTTCTGGTTATTATGTTCCCTGTCATAAGAAGGTCGGGGTTAGAGCAATGCTGGTCAGTGCAGTGGGCTGTTGCTCAGGAACACCTCTGTCTCGCTGCCTAATGTGAACGCTGGAACCCACAGTCGTCGGAAGCTTATTTCTATTTGCTTTCAGCGGTGTTGTTTTTATAACCAGTAACATCAGCAACTGAGATGAAAGCCAGGTACACGTGGGAGGCACGGTATGAGGCCTTGGAGTGGATGTTTATCTTAGAAACAGAGCTTGTCTGTCTGCAGGAGGTCAGTACTGGGGACAGGAGCATGTAGTGAAGGTTTAATTTCTCTTTAGAGTAAGGTTGGGGGGTGGAAGCTTGGCACAGATGTCGTGCTTAGGGCCCCATTTCTGTCCTATTCAGTGCATTTCTGTAACTGAAACTGGAATAGCAGGGCTGTATCCCACCGTGACAAAGAGTGAAACCATGGGTGGAGGAGGCTGGGCACAAGCAAATGTATTTGAAGGATATGAAGGCAAGGAAGTAAAGCTCCCGCCAGCTGGGAGGGGTCCTGAGGAGGAGACTGTACAGCCTTTCTGTCCAGGGGTCTTTAAGGGGTTTAGAAGGGAGCCCGGCCGTGGCACAAGCGATATACTCTCTACCCCATAGGATGCCGTGCTTTCCAGGGTCCCGTCTGTGCGGTGTCAGGCAGAGCCTTGCAGGGTGCCCTTGAGCCAGTGCCTGGTCACCATCGGGAGGTCCCCGACAGCCAGAGAGGACATGGCAGATGTTTTTTGGCTTCTCGATTCCATTTTGAGACCACTGTCCTTACTGCCTAATAGAATCCTCACTCCTCTCTCACTAATTCCTATCTCACAAGCAGCTGTTGAGTATCGACTGTGGATTTGTCTGCAGGGTAACTGCTTAAAGGCTGAGACGACTGACAGTACAGGAATGGGACAAGGGAATAATTTGAGGGCAGAGGTCAGGTTTCGGTTTCCCACATTATCAGAGTCGCTCTCATTTGGTGAACCTTGATTAAGTCTCTAGAACGGAGATGAGCAAACTCTGGCCTGAACAGGGCCTGCCATCTGGTTTTATTTTGTTTTGTTTTTTGTTCGTTTTTTGAGACAGGGTCTCGCTATGCAGTTCAGGCTGGCCTTGAGCTCGCTTTGTAGCCCAGGCCGGTCTCGAACTCGCAATGATCCTCCTGCCTCGGCCTCCCTAGTGCTGGGATTACAGGCGTGCGCCACCGTGCTCGGCTTGCCACCTGGTTTTGTACAATCAACTTTCACTGAATACAGCCACGTATTTGCTGTGATTGCTTTTGCACCACAGTGTGAGTTGAGTACTTGTGGCAGAGACTAAATAACCCAGCAACCCTAAAATACTGGCTGGCCTGTAGCAGAGAAGATTTGCTCACTTTTGCTCCAGGAAATTGTGAGGCCAGTGTTTCTCAAATTTGCCATGAAATAGGCCAAAGAGTAGCTCCCTTCCAGGGTGATTGTGTGATGTGCTGACAAGACACTCCTGGTACTGGAAGCGTCCATGGAACCATGAGTACTTGAGACGCCAGCAAAGAGAGGTCAGAGCTGGCTTCGCTGAGAAGATAACAGCCCCAGTGATATAATAAATGGGAATGTCCTAGAAGACAGCAGTGAGGAAGAATTCCAGGCAGACCAGACAGCAGTGCAGCACAGAGAGGGCTGAGAGAGGACTACATGCCTGAGAAATGCAGGGAGGTGGGTGTTTCTGGAACATAATGTCCAGAGTGGAGAGTGATTGGTGTCAGGCTGAGGTTGGCGGTGGCCCCAGAGCCCCACAGGCCTTGCTGAGGTGTTTGAGACATGCTTGTGGGGTGCAGAGGTTGGGTGGCTTTAGATAGGAAGAGCTTCCAAAGGGGTAGCCTTTCTCTGTTGACCTAAGCTGGTGTCAGTTTATTTAATTCAGCAAATATGCATTGTGTTCTGTTGGTCGCACCTGCTATAATCCAGGGAGTGAGAGGGAGGAGAGGTAGCTGGGTGTCTAAAGCAGGTGGCGCAGACTTCCCAGGTGGAGGGGGTGGCAGGTCATTCTAGGCACAGCGGAGTGAAGACCCAGGGACGCCTGGAGCAGAGCCCCGGTGAGCAGGTGTGCGGGGCACAGTGAGAACCAGCCTCGACGGATCCCACCTGGAGACCACAGGCTTGCTGCATGCCTGGTGACAAATCCCAAGACAGGGGTTGTGACGGGCAGGCAGACTCTGAGAGACGGCTCAGTTGGAACTGGTGGTTGCCTGTGTCTGGGAAGGAAGGGAGGAATGAAGGAAGGAGAGAGGAGGGAAAGAAGAAGTAGAAGGAAAGTCAATCCAGGTGGTCCTAAACGACACCACTAGAGCCAGGTATGCTGGTGCACACCTGTAATTCCAGCCACTTGGGAGGCGGAGGCAGGAGGATTGCCAAACTCGAGGCCAGTGTGGGCAACTCAGCAGGAGCTGGTCTCAAAGAAAACAAAACTATACTGCTTTCTTCTCAGTGGACTTCCCCCTTTCTGCTACCTACATGACACGCTCAGTAAATTTCTCACCTTTTGCTGCACCTCTGAGCCCACATCTTCTTCTCTTTCACTGTGGCGGTATCCCTTCCTTCCTGCAGCTGCCTGTCCTTCCTTCCTTCTCTTCTTTCACTAGCTTTAGTTTTGGAATAAGTTAGCTCTCCAGAATACCTTGGAACACACAAAGGGTACGTTGCAGCTTCTTCCTGCAGCTGCCTGTCCTTCCTTCCTTCTCTTCTTTCACTAGCTTTAGTTTTGGAATAAGTTAGCTCTCCACAATACCTTGGAACACACAAAGGGTACGTTGCTGGTCACAGGAAGGGTATTGCTATGTGAATATTTCCCCCCAAAGAACAGTACTTCATTGTCAGCAATAGAAGATGCCTGCTTCATCTTTACTGTCTAAATCGTGCTGTTGCATCACTGGTAGTTCCTATAACTACCTAGGTTTTATTTGTATTCCATAAATCTGTCTTGGAGGAATGAATAAGTCAATGAAAACTTAAGAACATCACATCATCTGTGGACTCGAGTTGTCTAGATTAATGCTACTCCATTTACTTTCTAGATCAAGCCGTCTAGCCCCAGCCATAGGTCCAGTGGGTATTTAGGAACCCAAATCTTTATCTCTTTGGCTTAGTCCTTTTGGGTCTTTTTGTTCGTTTCTTTGGTTTAAGACCTTGAGCAAAATTTTTGTTTTTGTTTTTTGATTTGAGACAGAGTCTCACTATGTAGCCCAGGCTGGCCTTGATCTTGCAGTGATCCTCCTGCTTCAGCCTCTTGAGTGCTGGGACTATAGGGGTGTACCACCATGCCCAGCTTGCACATGTTTTTCTTAACCATGCAGAAGACTGGAGGCAAACATGAAGGTGCCCAATGAGTATACAGGGGAGCAGGGTTCAGTACACAAGGGAACAGGGTCAGCCAGACAGCTGAGAAGTCATGAAAGCTGGAGGCACAGGAGAAGGAAGGGACTAGAAGGTGCCCTCTAGCATCAGCTACCTCCTTGACCTTGGCCTCACTGGCCCCACTGGCCCCTGAAGGTGCCCTCCGGAGGACCCTGGAGGGTGCTGCTGCCCCACTATGCCAGGTGTCTGCCCTTAACATGCTCAGGTTTGACTTGGGCTCTTTTTGCCATGTGGAAATGCATGCCATCTGGGGACACAGAGACTCTGACGTTGTCATTTTGCCAAAGTTACTCTCTTCTTTTGGATGTGAGTGTGAGTGGTGAGACGCTGAGGCTGAGGTGACAGTGGAAGAAGAGACGGCTACCACAGGACTGTGGCTTGCAGCTTTTGCTGAGCCAAGGTCGTGTCCAGCGGGCACAGTTACCAAACACAGGAGCTACGTCAGGCCACACGGGACGGGGGGCCCATGGAGGAAGCAAGAAGGAAGGCAGAAGGCGGGGCAGGTAGCAGTGAAAGGGGGGTCATTCGGGGCGTTCACCTCGCGAGTGTCCGGGCTGAGCTCCAGTTGGGTGGCCTGGCCGCTGCTCACCACCCTGTGCGGACCTGGACGCCGGAGTCATTGCTTGTGTAGCCAGCTTTGCCTGGCAAAGTGCTTGCTGGCTGCTGGCTAATGTGTTTGAATTCGTGATGATCACGGCTTTGGAATCAAGTACAGGGGCCTGGCAGAGACTGACTTTTAGGAAGACATCTAGAGTTGATGGGAAAAAAACCCCCAAAGCCGGAAATAGCAATAAAGCAACAAATCCTGGTCTCCTGACTCATCCCTCACTCCCTCTGGCTTCACACCCTTGTCCTGGCCTTCTTACAAGCTGCTTTCAGCAGTCCTTTGGCAATATCTTATTTTGGCGTTTCTTGGCTCTGATTTTTCTCCTTGGACCAAAGAGAGGTAATGCGGGTCGGTTAGTCTGAGGATGAAAACTTTCCCTTCGGTCATGTCTCATCCTGGTGTGTTGGTTGCTGCATTTAAGGAACAACCCAGGAAAGCTGGCTGCACGCGAGCTGTCTGTCGTGTTGTGGAAGAGTCTCGTGGAGGAAGGGCCTGGGCTTTTTAGCTCTGCTAGATTGTCCCGGCTAAGCCCAAGAAATACGATTTGTTTTCATATACTGGAAAAGCATGAAGGCAGTTTGCAGT